GATCAGGCTGCAACTTTGTAGCAAGTCACAAAAGACATTTATTAACACAGCCAAGTACTGCACAGACACCGGGGTTTACATGACTGTGACAACCCTGAGCCGCCATCTCAGTCCAGGAAGTGGATGGAGACTCTGGATGATGGCTGATCAAAGACGGCCCCTCTCTTAAAGGAGAACTATGAGGTGAGTGCTTTTCACTCACCTCATAGTTCTAGCCGACCTGTGACAATGAGACTGTCACAGGTCGGCTCAGTAGATCAGGAGGTGAGCGAACACATACCGGATTTCACTCACCTCTCGATCCTGTCACGGCTCTCACGGCTCTCATTTTCTCTAATGAAATTCTACTGGGGTATGGCCAGTTTTACTTAAAGGAGAACTATGAGGTGAGTGCTTATGAGGAGAACTATGAGGCGAACCTCATAGTTCTAGCCGACCTGTGACAATAAGACTGTCACAGGTCGGCTCAGTAGATCGGGAGGTGAGCGAACACATACCGGCGTTCGCTCACCTCTCGATCCTGTCACGGCTCTCTGCCGTGACAGGGGAGGGGATGAATTCCCCCCTCCCCGCTCCGATCCGCCAGCGCTGACTGGCGGAACGGACGGGGGAGGGGGCGGGTATAGCTGGCTCTGCCTCTAGATAGGCAGAGCCAGCTGTCAGTCACTCAGCTGGGCGGATCTCGGCACAATTGTTGGGATCCGTTTCAGCTGCGGCGTCTCAGTATACCGCGAGCTGCAGCTCCCTATATACTGAGCCTAGCGTGACGGGAGGACGCTAGTTTGTGTCCTCCCGTTACCCTAAGGAGAACTATGGGGAAAAGCCCTGACCCCATAGTTCTCCTTTAAAAAGAGAAAATCAGATGAAGGCATTGTCAGGGGGGAGTACTGTAATCTCTTTGATATAGAAATTTAAAAAAAATATATATATATTGTATTTATTTTGCAAGAAAGCATATTTATTTGTTATCATATAAGAATCTTTGGAAATCTTTGGCTACTCATATGTATTTAAAGTTTAATCTAGAATAGATGCACTTACATTTCTATGTTTTCTTTTGGTTTATACATTAACCTCGTCAAAAACTAACATTAGCCCCCATTCACACTGAGCGACATGCGCGACATTGCGCGACTTGTCGCACGACATCGGGCTGCAGCAATCGTGAGCAAAATCGCGCGACATCCGCGCAAAAAAGGGTCATGTACCAGTGACAAGCTACAGCGACGAGCTACAGACGACGTTGAGCTGTAAGATGTGAACAGCTCCATTGAAATGCATTGGATGGCATTGGCTACATAGAGCGATATCGAGCGGAAATATGCGCGATTTTGGAGCGGAAATACGCGCGATAAACCGCTCAGTATAAAAACTATCTCATGCAAAAAGCACAATGAAAAAGGGTTTATAAATATATAATAACTTCTACTACATACTGTATGTACTATATAATATGTACTTCTACTACAATGCTATAATATACTGTCTTATTATGTACTATTATTCTGTACTGCACTATACTAATACTCTACCTCTATACTATACTAATACTCTTTTATACTATACTATACTGCTATTCGTTACTATATTTTACTATACTACTATTCTATACAGTACATCTACTACACTGCTATATTGTCCTATACTATACTATTATTCTGTACTGTACTATACTAATACTTTACCTCTATAATATAATAATGTTCTTTACTATACCATGCTACTACTATTCTGTACTATCCTATACTTCTATGATTCTTTACAATACTTTATTATACTATATTACTATTCTATACCATACTATGTAGCTATACTATACTATACTGTGCCACACTACTAATATATTACTCTTCTTTACTATACTACACTACTATTCTCTTTTATATTATACTACTACTATACTGCTATTTTATACTATACTACTTCCATACTACTATTTTGTACTATACTGTGCAACTCTTATATTACTATCATTTATCAAGCTACCATTCTGTTCTATACTGTACTACTACTATATGGTTTATAATATACAGTAATACTTTTTTATACTATACTATTATTTTACTACTATACTATACTCTACTATATCATACGGCTTTTAAGTATTATACCATTATACTCTTCTATTATGCTACATTATGCTATTCTACTACAACACTCTTACTATATGCTATACTACACTTTACTACTACTACACTATACTCTACCATACTATATTGCTATGGGTAGTTAGTTAGTATTAGTAGTATAATATACACTGAGTGGCCAGATTATTATGACCACCCCATCAGTACTTCGTTGGGCCGCCTCGTGACTCCACGAGATGGTGAAAGGTGATGCGAGGAATCTGACACTGCACTGTTGTCCTTCTGTTGTCTTGTACCAGTCTTGCCCCTCCCCCGTTCTGCCCTAACATTGACTAGTCGCTGACGGCCACAATTCGCACGTTCAGACCCAGATTTTCGTCTGACAGTCCGGTCTTTAAACACTTTAACAACAGCCGCTCTTGAACATTTAACGAATTCTGCTGTTTTGCTGATACTCGCTCCATGGCTCCGAGCGCCAACAATCATCCCGCGTTCAAAGGCTGCTAAATCGCGTTGTTTCCCCGTATCTTCAGAAACAAATCACTTCCACTGTCGTGGTAAACAACCCGCTTCCATATTTATAATGGTCTGGCCCTCTAGCAACTTCAGCGCCAAATTATAGCTAATTAGCCTACAAACGTCAGGTGGTCATAATAATCTGGCCACTCAGTGTAGTTGCCAGTAGAAGAAGAATAACAGTTTACAAGAACATAACAAAGCCTATTTATAAAAGGCTGGATGGATATTTTGCTTATTTATTGCTTATTTTAGTATACTTGTTGATTCCGAAAGCTTATTGATAAGGAAGGAAACTCCTGGCAGTTCTACTGATGTCTGTGATATTTTAACAAAATTTGGAGCCAATGCAGATAAACCTATTGTGTGGATAGACTTTAGCAATATGAATTTATAATGGTTTAGCCCATTTTTTTCCCCACTGCTAATCCCACAGGGGGTTTATAACATCCTAAAGTTAGTGTAATTCATCATTTTCAATGTGGAGAAGCTTATTTAAGTCAGTTCAGTAACTTTTTTTTTTTGCTGGTCTTCTCATGTTTACACACCAAGATCAGGATGTACCGCGCTGAACTTCAATAAACCAAGTAAAATCTGGCAGTACAATAAGGATCTGTAGGAGAATGCAATACTTTTCAATGACCTTTGTAAATCCCCCCCTCTCACGTCTTACTGTATCTGCTATTTATAAATTAATGTTGAATGCTTTCTTCAGCTTTGCCTGTGACCTTCACCCAGCCGCTCCAGAATGCTGAAGCTGAGGAAGAAGGCACCGTGACCCTGAGCTGTGAGGTCTCCAAGCCCGGGGCTGTGGTGGAGTGGAGGAAGGGTAGCCTGGGGCTACAGCCTGGTACCAAATACGAGATGCGGCAAAGGGAGAAGGTGCGGGAGCTACTGATACATCATCTGAGGCTGGAGGACACGGGGGAGTACAGCTGTGATTCTGGAGATCAGGATACCAAGGCCTACCTGACTGTGAAAGGTAATTATATATCTACGTCATATTGTACGTCCAAAAATGTCACCTCATCCACTTGTTGGAAGTATCTACATCCCTTTAACGTACAAATCTTTGTGGAAAACATTTTTGGATCCTTATGGCACTTTTTTACTTTTTTTTCATCCTTTGTTACATCTCAGTGGGGCTAATCTTCAGTAGCCTATTGCTCCACAATAAAAAAAAAAAGTTTTAATTTATTTTAAGCAAAGCAAATGACAAACGCACTCAACACTTTGTCACCAGTTATACAGTAAGGTGCACATGAAATGGGCTTTGAACAGTAAAACAGTAGAAAGGCATCATGGCACACTCACAAACCAGCATGTAAAACAACTTGTCTCACCACTAAGGACAATGACAGAGGTTTGGATACACGTCTTCTGCAGAGGATGTGAAAGCCGCACAGCCGCGCCAAGGCACCTCTTATAGTGCGGTCCTAACTCTAAACTATGAGAGTCTCCATCTTCTCAATCTTCTGCCCCCATGTGCTCCAAGATGGAGACTCTCATAGTTTAGAGTTAGGACCGCACTATAAGAGGTGCCTTGGCGCGGCTGTGCGGCTTTCACATCCTCTGCAGAAGACGTGTATCCAAACCTCTGTTATTATCCTTAGTGGTGAGACAAGTTGTTTTACATGCTGGTTTGTGAGTGTGCCATGATGCCTTTCTACTGTTTTAATTTATTTTAAAACAATGTCTGGCCTTTTCTTTATATCGAATATCATATCATATTAAAAAAAAATTAAACGCTTATACCTTTCATCATGTGCATGAATTTTAATTGTGTAAGCTATGTTTTATTTGTAAGCCATTGCCTACTTCCTAAGACATATGTCATAAAGTAAGGTTCACAGTTTTGAAGCAACATTTAGGTTACATGTCCTTTTTTGTGTCTTATTGTGGCAGTCACGGAGTTGTAAAATACTATCGCCTTTCATCGAATATAGCTCAGTTAACTGTTCTTAAAAAAAATCTGGATGTATTCCTAAATGCACAGAAAGTCTGCTTCCGCGGAGATAGATGCACATAGGGCTAGTCTATGTTTGTATATAGAAATATATTAGGGCTGGGGAAATTAAAGATTAATTTCTCGATTAATCGTTAAACTTTTTGATCGATTAAAATTATTTTGATCGCTAATGAAAACACTCAACTCTCCGCCGGCTTCCGGGAGTCCCGTCGGCGATCCGGTGACGTCACGGACATCAACGTCACCGGACTCCTCCCCCTTCCCCAAGTGGCTCCGTTGGCTAATGAAGGGAAGGGGGGAGGAGTCCGGTGACGTCGATGTCCGTGACGGCTAACGAAGGGAAGGGGGAGGAGTCCGGTGACGTCGATGTCCGTGACATCACCGGACTCCTCCCCCCTTCGTTAGCTGACGGAGCCACTTGGGCCGGTGAGTTTGCCCAAGAAACTTTCTGCACGAGCGCCAGCCAAGGCATTGCCCTATACACATACAGCACAGCAATGAAGTAATAAAATGAACTAGGATTACACTAATCCAGCACGTTATTATTATTCTGAGTTGCCCCACTCAAGCGGCGGCCATATTGAGTGGGGCACGTGAGATTAATAACGTGCTGGATTAGTGTGATCCTAGTTCATTTTATCACTTCATTGCTGTGCTGTATGTGTATAGGCCAATGTAGTTGGATCTGTATGTGCGTTATCATTAATCAAAATTAATCGATTAATTGATTAAAAAATATTTCGATTAATCAAACAGGAAAATTGTAATCATTACCAGCCCTAAAATATATATATACTGTATATATAACATCATTTAAATTAACATGTTGCACTTGCCTGGCAAAGCAAAGGGTTTAATTTCTGTAATAACTAGCAAGTTTTGAAGTCGACAGCAGCCAGGCAATTTGGATTTGCATAAGAATATCAGAGACAGAAGCCTTAAAATTTCTTACAGGGTTATTCACTAAAGTGCCAAAGGATCCAGCTGTAGCTTCGGCTGTTCCTTAGGCTCTCTTTGGCCGCCGGAGCCCTTCAGTTCAGTCGAACTGAAGGGCTGCTGTACGGGCTATTCACAATAGGCAGCCGATGTACGGCTGATTTCGGGTAGCAGGCATGATGTCTCTGCAATGTTATACTTCTATAGCAGGGGTGGGGAACCTCTGGCCCTCCAGCTGTGGTGAAACTACAAATACCATGAGGCATTTGTCTCTGGGAGTCATGCTGTGGCTGTGAGAATCTTTCAATGCCTCATGGGATTTGTAGTTTCACCACAACGAGAGGGCCTGAGGATCCCCACTCCTGTTCTACAGGAAGCCATAAAATTAGACAGTGCCAACCCCAAATTGGCATCAAAATTAATTATAACATATCACATTAAAAAATTGTGTTTTTTTCATTTAAGATTTCTGGAGTTTTACTTCAATCACGTTGAATGCATCCCTGCAACTGAACATGATTGAATGAATAGTTTATCACAGTATATTTTATTTTATTTAAATATATTTTACTTAAATTCTGCATTTTTTCCCCCCCACATTGTTGTCCGTCTTGTATTGTAGTCCTCCCAATAGTGTTTAGCAAACCACTGAAGAATACGGTTGTGGAAGACGGAGTCACGGTGACGCTCCGCTGCGAGACATCCAAACCCAACGTTTCCCTGGAATGGAGGAAAGGGTCTGTGGCTCTCTTCCCTTGCGCCAAGTACGAAATGAGGCAAGATGACACAGTAGCGGAGTTGGTCATCTTCGACGCGGAAGGGCAAGATGCAGGAGATTACACCTGTGATACAGGAGACCAACAGACCACCGCCAACATCAAAGTCAACAGTGAGTGCTACTTATATTGGAATAAACAGCAATTACTAAAGAAAATGTAAACCCTAACTGAATGGAATGTAGAGTGCTCTGTGCAATGTGTATTATAAACACTTGTTTACCTTTTTTTCATCCTTTGTTACATCTCAGTGGGGCTAATCTTCTGGAGCCTCTTTGCAACATGCACACTAGTGACGGCTGCACTTCTCAGGGTGGGTTTCCTGATGGCGACAGCAGCGGACCATGCCTGCATCATGTGTGTTAATAGGCGTATGTAGTTTTCATGACAGGGTGACAATGCAGGGGCACAATTGGAAGACCCTCTATTATTGGGTGAGCTGGGGTGTCCCAAGGCCGGGTGTCACCCGGAGTGGAGACCGGGTGACACCCCGCCGTGACGTCATCGTGCATGTGCGTGACGTCGCCAAGTGCATGCGCGATGACTACACCGAGCATGCACAGCCGTCTAATTGACGCCTGCCGCCGGCCATCTTGGTGATGAATGCCGGCAGAGAGAGGAGGGGAAGTTCACACAGCGGGATGAGGTATGCCGCCGGGTCCCCTCCTCTCTGCTGACACTGTCAGGCTCTCGGTTCCAGGACCGAGTGCCCGACTTTTTAGAGGGGGTGACACTAAAATGACTGTCGGTCATTTTGGTGTCACCCCTCCAATGGTGTCACCCGGGTGCGGACCTCACCCCCCGCACCCCACTTGTGACACCACTGAGGGTGAGGTCACCCTATAACAGGAAGTGCCTGAACAAGAACCTTCATTGCAGGATCAAAAAAGCAAAACAACTTCCTGTAACTGTAATCCTTACAAAAAAAACATTTGCATGCCAATTCAAAACCAAGAGAGTAGCTCAGTGGAATCTGATTTCTGGCTTCAACAAGACATCTATACACGTGTAATGCAAATGGTAACAGTTTAAACACTGTTCAAATTCATATTAGGGGAAACCTATGTGTTGGGGAACCCAACAGGAGGCACCAAGTTAGTCAGGAACTGTGTGCGTCATTAGCAGTGTGCCTCAGGGTTCTGTGCTGGGCCCCATGCTTTTCAACCTGTTTATTAACGACATCGGGGACGGAGTACACAGCGATATCTCAGTGTTTGCTGACGATACCAAAATTGGGAGGGTAATAGAAACAGACCAAGATAGTGTAACATTGCAGGAGGACCTGGATAAAATAGGGGAGTGGACATTAATGTGGCAGATGAGGTTTAATGTTGATAAATGCAAAGTTATGCACTTTGGGATTAAAAATAGGCAAATGGGTTATACAATTATGGGTATGCCGCTAGGGAAGTCGGAAATGGAGAAAGATTTTGTGGTCATTGTAGACCACAAACTGAATAATAGATTACAGTGCCAGGTTGCTGTAAGCAAAGCTAATAGAATCCTGTCCTGCACAAGAAGGGAATGTATTGCAGAGATAAGTCTATAATTTTGCCACTTTACACATCAATGGTTCGGCCTCACTTGGAGTACGTGGTGCAGTTTTGGGCTCCGGTACACAGAAAGGATGTCCTTGAGCTGGAGAAAGTCCAGCGGAGGGCGACCAAACTCATCAAAGGGATGGAGGACAAGAGCTATGAGACACGGCTACTAAATTTAAATATGTTTACGTTGGAAGTAAGGAGATTAAGGGGGGGACATGATTTTCATGTACAAAATGTTCCATAGTCATAGCAACATTAGCAATAAACTCTTTAAGATTAATTTCCGTAACAAGGACTAGAGGCCACCACCTAAAACTGGTAGAAAAAAAATTCAAACACAAGGGGCGGAGGGGATTCTTCTCAGTTTGCGCGGTTAGGGTCTGGAACTCGCTGCCTCAAGCAGTGATTTCCACGAATAGTCTGGAATCATTCAAGAAGCTTTTGGACGACTTCCTGAGAGACCGAAATGTACAAGGGTACAGGTACTCTTAAGAATGAGAACACTCAGGGACCTATACACACACACACAATAGGTTGGACTTGATGGACTTATGTCTTTATTCAACCTCAAATATTATGTAACTGACCTGAGTTTAGTTAGTGGATCGGATGAGCAGATGTTTTGTTAGTTTTATGCTATGGACCTTCTGTACAAAGCCCTCCTGCACTGAACTGTGTTTGGTGCCTTGCTGATTAAAAGCGCATGGGCACACCTGCTTAGACTGTTCCTGGGTGTCTCTGTCCCATGCATGGTTTACCGCTGCTAGCACCAGTTAAGTCTGTCCCCCATATATATATATATATAGGCAAGGCTCCTTTTTTACATGTTTTTCTGTCTATTCCAAGCTGTTCTGCTGAAGCAAACCTGCAATTTACAGAGATGTAGGTAAAACTGACACACACAGATGAATAAATCATAGCTGTGACTCCTTCCCTTCCCTGCCTGCTCTGTTCAGATGGACTCTGTTTAGTTTTAATCTGATAAAGACAGTCTGAAAGCAAACTGTCCCTGCTGTGTTCCTTCAAAGTCATAAAAAATGATCATATGGATTATTTCCCATTTACCGGACAGAAAGATGACATTTTAATACCTGTGATGTTGGCAGGAACACAGCTGTGCAGATCTTGGGAACTCATCACATCCAACCAACAGAGTCCCTGACAGACAAAAGAAACTATCATGGGTTTAATACCCCAGGATCGGCTATAAGTTACGGTTGGACTGACCTATTACTATTCCCACTATATGATGATATATTGTGATAACTTTGTTGTCTTGCAGTTCTCCAGTTTGTGAAGAATTTGCAGAACATGGAGGCTGAAGAAGGCTCAACTGCCCGCCTCCGCTGTGAGGTCTCTGCCAAGATGGCCTCCGTGGAGTGGCGAAAAGGTGCCGAGAAACTACAGGCCAACCACAAGTATGAGATGAAGCAGGACGGCGCCGTGCGGGAGTTGATTATTCACGATCTGGAGCTGGGAGACGCTGGGGAGTATGTGTGCATCGCTCGAAGCAAAAGAACTACAGCCACGCTAACTGTGAGAGGTAGGTTTTGTGTGATATCTTACAGGTCAACTGTTCTTTCATTAATAAACTAGACACGTGCGATTCCTTTTGTTCCCAATCAAAATTTGGACACATCCGAATTTCCGAATCCCAATGTATCCAAATGCGTCTGAATTCGAATTTCCGTTTCGGAATTTCTGATGCCGTCTGAATTTTGTTCAAAAACAAAATGTAATGGGACATGTGACTTTTCTGGCCAATCAGATGCGTTTTTCGGTTTAATGCATCCGACTGGGTCTGAAAACGAATCCTCGTTACGGCAACATGGGAGGCATATACAGTATATACATATAATACTAAAGCTGAGGCTCCCAGACCAGAATGGCATTTGGGATCCGAATTTCCAAATTGCATTCAGGAGCTCCTGAATGCCATTCGTGTCTGGGAGCCTCAGCTTTAGCAATATATGTATATGGCGCCCAGACCCAAATGGCATTCGGGATCCTAATTTCCAAATTGCATTCGGGAGCTCCCGAATGCAATTCATAAATTCGGACCCCAAATGCCATTCGGGTCTGGGAGCTTCAGCTTTAGTATTAATATCTGTTTATGGTTTTCCGTGGTATTCACAACGAATATTCGTAAACTCATCCGAAACTAAAATTCGTATTTCATCCGGAACCGAATTGAATTTCGGATCCGAATCCCGAAATAATGAAATATCCGAACCGAATTTTTCCACAGCTTACATGTCTATAACAGACCCACCCTAAATAATTCACTCCTTCCTACAAGCTCAGCTAAGTACTTCCTCCTGTCCATCAACATACAGAGTCAATACTCCCACTGCAAGCCTAATGTCAGCTGGCATGTAGAAAATTATTTCATAGCATTTGAAGTGGAAAGTGGAACTGTGACCTCGCTATGGACGTTCATATACAGTATTTATATATTCTAAACAAACAGAAAAAACGGTTTAAAGCTAACTCCCACTGACCTCTGTAGCTGCCGGCACTGTGGTGTAATCACAGCAAAAAACACTGTGCTCGTTTTGATCTAGGTGCAAAAACAACAAGGTTATATTTACCAGAACCTTGCGGCCGGCCAGCTGTGACAGCGATCCCTCCTGCCTGTTTCTTCCTCCGCTGCAGCAATGGCATGTCCCTTGGCTTCCTCACGTCCTATACACAGTTTATTGGGCATGATGACTCAAGGATCCTTAGACCGCTGGAGCGGAGGGGGAGTAAGGCTGGAAGGGCCATTCTAACAGCCAGCTGGCTCGGAGGGTCGTGTATAACTTTTTGATTTTATCTTGGTGATGGACGCCGGCAGAGAGAGGAGGGGACAGTCACCCGGCGGGATAAGGTATGCCGCCGGGTCCCCTCCTCTCTCCTGGAACTGTCGGGTGTTCGGTCCATGACCGAGCGCCCGACTTTTCAGAGGGGAGGGGGGCACCAAAATGATTGTAAGTCATTTTGGTGTCACCCCTCCAATGGTGTCACCCGGGTGCGGGCCACACCCCCCTTGTGACGCCACTGCCTGTTCTCTTAAATTTATATAGTCCCCTATCAAAATCAAGTTACACATTTTGCATGTTTGCATGTTCTCCCTGTGCAAAGTAATGCTGGTAGGTCAACTGGCTCCTGTCTAAATTGGCCCTGTATGTGAGATAGGGACCTCAGATTGTAAGCTCCTCGAGGCCAGGGACTGATGTGAATGTGCAACTATGTAAAGCGCTGCGTACATTGTCGGCGCTAAATAAATACTTGTAATAATAAATAAATAAATGCAATTAAAATATAACCTTCAATATTTAATTTGGTGTTTTTTTAAAACTGTACACTAGTACCGGTGGCGTCACAATGGGGGTGCGCCTCGCACCCGGGTGCCACCGTTGGAGGGGTGACACCAAAATGACTGAGTCATTTTGGTGTCACCCCCTATGAAAAGTCGAACACTCGGTCATGGTCCGAGAGCCCGACAGTGTCAGGAGAGAGAAGAGGATTGGGGGGGGGGGCATATGTGTCACCCGGTCTCTGCTCCGGGTGACACCCAGCCTCGGGATGCCCCTGCTAGTACTTCAGTGGCACAATATCTAACTTATGCTAGATAGCAGTACCGTTGATTGTTCATACATCAAATCAATTTCTCTTTTAGAATTGGACATCACCATTGTCCGTGGTCTCAAAGACCTCTCAGTCGTTGCCGGAGAGGACGCAGTGTTCAAGTGTGAAGTCTCCCACGCCAACGCAAAGGACGTGGAATGGATGTTGCAGGGCATTACGCTGATAACGAATGAGATGAATGAGATCTCAGTGGAGAGCGAGAAGGTCCATGTGGTGAAACTGAGCAGTGTGACGCAGGAGGACACCGGTCCCGTGACCTTCAGAGTTGGTTCACACACATCTAAAGCGGAGCTTGTGGTCAAAGGTAACGTTAATTCAATAGTCTAATGACCATGTTTGTCTCTGGTTGAACCACAAAAAAAATGAGTTATGACGGAAAAATGGAACTTTATTATTTTGGATGCTCCTCTGTTGTCTGTGTCTCCCTATACTTTGTTCGTTGATACCCACAAATAATCTTTGTAAAATTTGGATACCCGGTGCCCAGTCTGAAATGTTAAACTAGTAGATTTGCAAAGAGGGTAATGCTGGTCTAATGCTATTGTAGGATATCACTGGGATTCTAGATCAGGGAAGTCAAGGGGTTCAGTTTAATTTTTTGCTGTCTACCCTTCTGTGCATGACAGACAAAGATTGCCTTGGTTGTTAAAGATTTGATGATTCTCTCCAGTGAAAAAAGGTTCAGCAAAGTTACCTAGATATTACTGATTCCCACTGAGCTCATAGCAACCTTTTTTCTAAAAGTTGTCTACATGTTCCATTTCCCTGAAGTGCAAAGTAACATACACTGACCAATACTAACATTATGCATGTGGTCTTCATGTCGTCGGGGGGTGGGGTGTGTCAGCAAAATAACTCACTTTTGCCTTTTAATTTGTTCCCCACATTTCTACAAAATATTTCTCCAGACTTTGAAATAGAAAACCGCTATGCTGACATGAAGTGCAAAAATGGTACAAAGAATTGGTATAAAAAATCTAAAGAACCATAAAAGTCACATTAATTCTCCTGTTCCACCTAACATTATGGATTCCGCTTGAGGGTGTAAGCTATTATTGAAATTCTCTGTGGAAAAATTGGGAGCATGGCCTTATAAACTGGTGAAATTATCCACATAATACACTTGTTTGGGATGTTTTTACCTTAGTTGAAATATGGCAACAATTATTTAGAAGAGCTTCATAAATAAGTGGTTCCAAAATAACTTAATTTAGGTTAAGAGACCTCTTTGTTTTTCCAGCTCCTCTCCCGGTGATTACAAGACAACTGTCTGATGTGGGAGTGGAAGAGGACACCACGGTGGTTCTGGAGTGTGAGCTGTCCCAGCCCGGAGTGTCCCTGGTGTGGAAGAAGGGCACACAGCAGATCAGTCAGAGTGCCAAATACAATATGCTGGATCGTGGCTCTATCCAAGTCTTGCAGATCTTCAATGTAACACCTGCAGATTCTGGTGTCTACACCTGTGATATTGGAAACCAACAGACAAAGGCCAAAGTCACTGTGACAGGTAGAGAGTTTGTATTATTTGCCAAAATGCTACAAAAAAAGATTTTACTCGTTGATAATGTAATTTAGGATTTATCTAGTAGAAGTTAGTCACCTTTAACAGGTCTTGTTCTGTGATATGTCTGTGAAGGTTCTCATTCATCCAGGTCATGGTATATCTGTAAAAAATAAGTCAAGTTCCCAGATAATTTTTGTACAAGTCATTCTGAATTGGATGAGCAGTGAAACGTCTTCAAGAAAAATACAGCAAGTCAGTTGCCTTGACTTATTTTTTACAGATATTGTTCTGTGATGTTGAACAAGCTTCATCCAAGTGGCCTTAGTTCTAACGATTGCCCAAGAACATGATGTAGGTGTGAACGTTTGTGAAAGTAACCCATTCTAATTTATATGATCCAGTCACTACACCGCCATTAAAGTGACTTGGGGTACAGGTAATATACAGGGGTACAGGTACTCCTAGAATGAGATCCTAGTAGGTTGGACTTGATGGACTAATGTCTTTATTCAACCTCAAATACTATGTAACTATGTAACTATAAGTACTGCTGTTCTTAAAGTTAGAATTAGGAATATTCACAGTTTTTGTGTGACATTTTATACTTGTTCACCCTTTATTTGATGCAGCCGTTCCAGTAGTTTTTGAACAGAAACCTGAAAACTGCAGCTGTGAAGAAGGTACTGCAGTGATTCTACGAGCCCAGATCTCCAAGCCCAATGCCCCCGTCCAGTGGAAGAAAGGGGCCTCGGCGATCAAGCCCAGTGACAAGCTGGAAATACGACAGGCAGGGAAGACAGTGGAGCTCATTATACACCAGGCCCTGCCGGAAGACTCTGGGGACTATACCTGCGATACTGGAGAGCAAAAGGCCACGGCCACTGTGACTGTGACAGGTGAGAATGGGGAGGGTCCACAGGTCTCAGAGATTATCAGTGAAAGTGTGCATGAGACACTTTAAAGAGACGCTGTCACCTTGTCCATTCAGAGCAATGTGACAGGGTCCTTTGAAATCCCACCAGGACACCCAGCTATACTATCTTTCTTAAGACTCCTTTATGACCCTTTGTCACGGCTGCCATAAAATATCCAAAAGTATTTCGCTGGCAAATGGCAAGCACCTGACCCTGCTGACCAATGAGAAGCGCTTTTGACTGCGCTGACCAATGAGCTGAGCAATGGTCAGCACGGTCACCAATGAGTGCTCGCCATTTGCAAGTGAAATTCAAAGTACAGAGCGCAGGGCTGCACTACATGGCAGTATGGGGCACTGGCACCGGCTGAGGGGAAGGAGTGTTTGCCAAACTGGTGGAGGGTCCATATTGGAAGGGGGTAATTCCATTTTCCCAAATTCACCTGGGAAAGTGGAATTACCCTTTAAGCAACCTAGGCTGTCTTGACTAATCTTAAATAATCATTGATTAAACAATTCAATAATTGATCTTAAATGCAACATGCTGTCCTTTCTCAGCACTCCCCGTGGACTTCACACGACACCTACAGAACGAGCAGGGAGAAGAGAACGGATTAGTGACACTCAGAGCAGAGATCTCCAAGCCTGGTGCCCCCGTACAGTGGAAGAAAGGTGGAACGGCCATTAAAGCGAGTGCCAAGTATGAAGTGAAGCAGTCTGGGCACGTGGTGGAACTTCATATACACAAGCTGCAGCAGTCCGATGCAGCCGAATACACATGTGACACCGGTGACCAAAAATCAGTGGCTGCAGTGTTTGTTAAAGGTGAGAGGGGAACTTAAGGGGAGCGTTCAGTGTGCATAGCTGTGAGCCCCGGGATTGTATTTTTATCAGTGGATTGTAGGCCAAAAATTTCTTATTGAGCTGCGAGGTCCAGTAAACTCCAATGTGGTAGGGAACACCAATAAATTCAGCATGCGTCTCAAGAAAAAAAATATACTAGAAAGCAGGGAGTGTGACCGAATACAGAGATAAGTTTTATCTACAAGAAAACTTTTTTTCCCTGTAACCACTTAGGTTCTGAAGATGATCAGATGACTAAGAGGGTTATTCACTAATGAGCCGAAGGATCCAGCTGTAGCTTCGGCTGATCCTTCGGCTCGCTTCGGCCGCCTCTGCCCTTTGGATCAGTCAAACCGAAGGGCTGCTGTACGGCAGTGGCGTAACAACCAGTTCCACTGCTGTACGGGCTATTCACAATAGCCCATACAGCAGCCGAAAGCAGCCAAGCAGCTCAGCCGAGCCTAACGCATATGCCGTAGTGACAGGCGAAGCAGGGAGAAAGGTCGGCTGAAGGGCTGACCTTTCTCCACGCTAATGACAGCTGGGCGGTGCCAGCCGGGATCTCACGGCTTGCTCCGCCCAGTTGTAATGACAGATCAGCGTCCCCAAATGACTTGGAGACGCTGATCTGTCATTAAACAACAACAACATGATGCCGCATGGCACTCGGCTATTTACTTACTGCCATTCGGCCCCTCTGAGAATAAGGGCGAACGGCAGCAAGTGAGCTGCCGGAGCTTCGGCTCAGCAGATCCAGATGTTGGATCGACTGAGTCGAACTCCTTCTGGACTTTGGCTCAGCCGAACATGCAGAGCATGTTTGGCTGACCGAAGGCAGCCAATGTACGGTTGATTTCAGCCAATGTACGGCTGAAATCAGCCGTACTGAGTCGGAGTGGATAGCCGAGCAGCGTTCGGCTCAGTTATTCACTCGGCTGCCTTTGTCAGCTAAGTGAATAACCCCCTAAATGTATTGGGTCTTGGTTAATTCTGTGAGGCCCAAACTATCTAGTGATATCATGAATCAGCTCCTTAAAAAGACACTAATGGGATCACTCCCAAAACTGTGGAGGGAAAGATGGCTATTTCCCCTCTGGGCCCTAGTTTCATCTTCTGATGTCACAACAAAACAGTTGAGTTCTGTCCTTGAGACGTTATTCATTTGCACCAACTGTTACGTTTTCAGGACAGACTTTTGTGGGTAGGAAATGCCGACAGATCTTCCAGCAACCCCTAATGTTGGCCTTCAGACAACCACCAACCTCAGACCTAAATTAATCCATAGAAAACTTAATTTCAGAATCACAAACAAGGGAACAAAACCTTGCAACAATAAATGTTTTGACCAGCAGTGCCAGGAGGGAACATGGAGCCGGCTTCCCGGCCAATCAGGAAGCCGGGCAGCGAGTCATTACCCGCCGCGCAGCTTTCTAATTGCCCGGAAAGCCGGCTCCATGTTCCCTGCTGGTCAGAGGAGATCTCCTTCTGACCTGAAGTTCCGTTATCGGGCGTAAATATCAGAGCATTTGGGCGAGTACGAGTACTCGCGCAAATACTCGGTATCGGCACAGATAACGATACTAGTATCGGTGCATTCCTAACGTACACACTATTTTTTGTTTCAGAACCAGAACCTTATATACTAGATCAGCTACAGAAGGTGTCAGTAGAGGAGGGAGAAGACGCCATATTCAAGTGTAAGGTGTCGAAGGATAACGCCCCTAATGTCCAGTGGTTTCTGGCCGGAGTTCCACTGCAGAACAATGAGATGAACGAGATTTCTGTCCACAAGGGAAAGATCCACACCATGACCCTGAGGAAGGTCTCCCTGGAAGATGCAGGCTTGGTCAGCTTCAAAGTCGGCCAGAACAGCACCGAAGCAGAACTAGAAGTTAAAGGTAAATACAGTGGGGTCGAGAAGGAATTTTTGGCTTTCCCCTGTATGGCAGAAACAGGCTACATGTACTCCAGGGTTCCCTTCCTCTAGACAAAAACTGTTGAGAAGTTTCTGGGTGGTGGAACTTGTATGTCTTTTGTTTGAGTTACATTCTCTATATATCCCATTCTGTATACTGTGCTGGAGACTTCCTTGCATGGTGAGTTGTGCTTAGAAATCTCAACAGAGTTTCCTATAGATATAACAAGCCAGTGCCAGGTTTAACCTACTGACATCCTCCCAGGGCCGGATTTCCCACAAGGCCAACAAAGCCCGGCCTCGGGGCAGGAGGGAGTAGAGGGGCAGCAGGGGTGTGGAATTCCTATCTCCTGATGCCCAGGACATGCATTTCCGGGTGCTGGGTGGGTAGTTGTTTTTTACATTTAGCCCTGCTTTGGGCAAGCCGAGCTAAATGTACAGCGGGGGAAGCCGCCGCTTGTTTTGTACAAGTGATTCCGGCGATGTCACCGAGATCACTTGTATGCAGCCTGCGGGTCTGCCATTCTTGATGGGGGGGGGGGAGGGGGCGCATTGAGGAACCTGGCCTTGGGGCAGCAGAGAGAGTAAATCCGGCCCTGCATCCACCTATACCTATTTACCTCAGAGAACGCCATTGACATTCTACCCCTTCTTTTTTAAAACCTCAGTCGTGGTGCTGACAATTACAAAGCACCTGCAGCCAGCCGAGGCAGAGGAGCAGGGAAGCATCACGCTGGACTGCGAGCTCTCCAAGACCAACGTGGCGGTGGAGTGGAGGAAAGGATCTCAGGTGATCAAACATGGCGGAAGGTACGAGATCACTGTGAAGGGATTGGCTCATAGTCTGCGTGTTAAGGACGTCGTGCTGGAGGACGCAGGTGAATACAGCTGCACAGCAGGCAGCGAGAAAACCTCAGCCAAGCTACGAGTGAAAGGTAAGAAGGGGAAATCTGTGCAGAAAGAGATGACATCTACTCTTTTTTAAAAGCTGAACTCTGGGCACAAAAATGTTTATTGAGATATATTTTTCAATAGCCACAAAAAATATAAATTCATATATACTATATGCACTAAATGTCATTGCAAACCCTGTGATTAACTTGTTAAAGTAGCAGGGACATCATTACTGTGCTGCACATAGCATAGAGCAGAGCTGTGGGAGGGACCCAGCAGGCTCCACCCACTACAAGCTGCCTGCAGGACACTACATAAGAGGCGGAGAAACAAGACCAGTCACCCTCCACATGAAGAGAGAGCAGCAGTGAGCGGTCTTTATTACAGGAGGGGGCAGAGACAAGACCAGTTACCCTGCACAAGGAGAGGGGGCAGTAGTGACCGGTCTTTATTACAGGATGCTCCAAGTCGCACACTGGATTACTGCACAGATCTGGAATAAACACAAAGCTCACCAAGATTCAATGAAGAATACACATGACTCTTGCTGGTGCTCATATGCACCCCACACAGTATGGCTCTCATCCAGAGGACACAGGAGCAGACAACACACACCTGCACCATAAATGTGGTTCTATTTATGTCACTGACACACAGTGCGGGGAGATCCCTCATGTGACACAGTGCAGGGAGATTCCTTCTCTGACTTGGGGACAGCGGGTGACACAATGCGGGGAGATTCCCTCTTTTGACTTGGGGACAGAGGGTGACACTCTGTTGGAGTTTTAAATGAATCTAAACTACATCTGGGACAATGACACAATATAGGTTAGAATGAGGATTGGCTGTATGGTAAAAATAAAAGATTAACCTAGCTTTGACTTAACTGGATTCTCTCATTGAGTTATAATAATAAAGTCAACATTCAAATTATTTTCAGCCCTTTGCTGCCCCTTAAAGCGGCACCCAATCCTCCTGTACTCATCTCCCCTCAAGCAATGCGACGCCTGTACGCTCCTTCACCTTTAGGGGTCATCTTTTTTGGCTGGGTTGGGATGACGTCACTTCCATGCATGGCCATGGGAGTTCACTTAACCCAGCACTAAGGGGTGTGCAGCTCAGTCTACATTCTAGAGCAGCGGTAGGCAGATCCTGGCCCTCCAGCTGCGGTGAGACTACCAATGTTTTCATGCCTCTGCCTTTGGCATTCATGACTGTGGCTGTCAGAGTCTTCCAATGCCTAATGGAATTTAAAGTTGCACCACAGCTGGGGAGCCAGCCTACCCCTGTTCCAGAGCATCTTGCAAGGAGGAAGGTAAGAACCCTTTTTTGTAGAAGTGTATCTCTTCTGCAATAAAAATCCTTCCTGCTTGCAAGTTTTTAACTTCCAGGCTAAGTTCGGCTTCAACCTGTGGCACCTCAGGCAGCTGCCTTGTCCTTACTATCTGTAGGCTTCATCAATGGTTTCTCTCTGCTCATTGTGAAATGTTGTGTTTCAGCCCTGCCTGTAGTTTTCACACAAGAGCTCTGCAATATAGAACCGGAGGAGGGCGGAATGGCGGTCCTACAGTGCCAGGTGTCCAAAGACGAAGCTCCTCTGGAGTGGAGGAAAGGAGCGCTGGTCCTACAGCCCAGTGATAAGTATGAGATGAAGCAAAACGGCACTTTAGTTGAACTAGTGATTCATAACGTGGACATGGAAGATTGTGGCCAATACGCCTGCAGCACGGATTCCGCCCAGACTACCGCCTCCGTCTTCGTACAAGGTAACGGAGGGGACGGGGTGCCTGATGTAGTGCTACAAAGATTTTGTCACATTTTTGTTTTGGTGATCACATGATTTTATGATATAAAAATGTTCTCAGTACGGTCCTGAATTGACCTCTATAACGCCAAAGACAAAGCGGGATATGAGGATAGACACTCGATGCTCTGTTCTCCATAGAGTAGTAAGAGCCTCTTATGCATATGAAGTCCTCCTCTGTTATAGTAAAGACAATCGGCAGTCCAAGGTCAGCAACGAGTAATCAGAGGATAAACGAAGGAGACAAGAGCAAATTTGGGTCCAGGCAGAAGATCAGGAGGGGGCAGCAAGCTAAGAAGGGTCAGACAGTCCGGGTCAGCAATGAGAAACCAGCAGAAGTATAAAGCTACTGGCCTAAACCCTGTAAGATCCATTAGTAGAGGATCTTCTGGAAATCCTGGCTGGGATTCTCAGAGGAGAACGGTAAACCCTGGCAAATATTCTGATTTGTACCATAACAAGGTGTTAATTTCCTACAAGCTGTAGTTCCTCCTGGTGGCCACTGTTGGGCACAGTAGTGATGTAGGAGCCAGCGGACCGAACCACAGACTGCAAAAGGGCCAGGAATCCAACGCACCTGGAAGTGTCAGATTCTGCAGATTCTTCAGTCCAACAACCCCCTGGAAGCATGAGATTGTCTGACTGCTGAGCTATATCTCTGACTCGGGAGCCGCATATATGCAGAGAGACCTCCTTTTCCACACAAGGGCCAAAGGTCTTTCTCTACAGCATGATGGCAGGGAACACGTTTCTCTGCTCTTTCTAAAGAAAACTAACTTTGCACACCTTTTGTTTTGACACATCTGGAAAGTATTTAAACTGAAAGTTCAATCGGCCTTTAATAAGCAGTAATTGAGCTTAAAGGAGAACTATGGGGTCAGGGTTTTTTCCCCATAGTTTTCCTTAGGGTAACGGGAGGACACAAACTAGTGTCCTCTCATCACCCTAAGCTCAGTATACCGCGAGCTACAGCTCGCGGTATACTGAGACGCCGCAGCCGGAGCAGATCCCAGCATCGATGTCGAGATCCACCCAGCTGCGTGAGTGACAGCTGGCTCTGCCTATCTAGAGGCAGAGCCAGCTGTACCCGCCCCCTCCCCCGTCTGATCCGCCAGTCAGCGCTGGCGGATCGGAGGGGGGAATCCAGCCCCTCCCCAGTCACGGCAGAGAGCGTGAGAGGTGAGCGAACGTCGGTATGTGTTCGCTCACCTCCCGATCTACTGAGCCGACCTGTGATAGTCTCATTGTCACAGGTCGGCTAGAACTATGAGGTGAGTGAGAAGCACTCACCTCATAGTTCTCCTTTAAAGACGAGCCATCACTGGCCTTTGTAGGTGTTGGCACTATGGAGTAATTCTTCCTCAAAGTTTGCAGTTCTGCTTCCCCCAACTTCAGGTGGGAACAGGCTTAACAAAGGGGGTTTCACCCCTGAAACCGTGCCACTTCCAGGTTCTCATGGGGGTTGATAATACATTTTGTTAGGTTATGTTTAGAGGATACTTCTATGTAATCTGTGCATCACCATGTCATGGTGTCTGTACATGCGTCCATTGCATACAATGGCAGCATACAATGTACATGCACCCATTGTACGCTGCCATGCTGTATTCTGCCTCTCCTGACATGTGACATGGAGTATAATTCTTCTGTGGATTGTAGCAAACATTTACAGTTATAAAAGAATATCGCTACAGTACATACTGTTTTCTGGTGAGCTTATTGCATTTGAATTTCTCCACAGTGCCTGCGGCTACAGAGGTCAGTGGGGGCTTGTTTTGAAGCTCATTTGCTGCTTGTTAAGAATATGTAGATTTGTGAATATTTGACTGTCCATAGCCTGGCCACAATTCTACTTTTGCCAAAGGGAAGACATTTACCACTTTATCTTGCACTCATTTTCTTTTATAATTAGATCTGCCACATTTTAATCATAAACATTTTAATGTTGTAAGCCGACATTGACTAGATATAAAAAATTGCAATTTAGGAAAACCATTTATAGAAATGCGTTTTTACTTTTTTTTTTAGATGTTACTTTTTTTTTTTTTTTTAAAAGGACCCTTAAATGTTACACCAAGTTCACTGTGTACCCCACAGGTCTTTGGTGAATAAGTCAGGGATACCTTGTTATGTTAATTGACGAAAGAAGGAAATCTTTATTAAATAGTTTAATAGGCTCTAATAGTTTCTTATTGGTCATAACATATTTTTACCAGTCACCCAATAAGTAAATATGAGATTTTCTTATTGGTTTAAAATGCCATAACGATTGACTAGAGGGAGTCATTTAAAAGAGAAGTATGGGGTAACCTTTTTATCCCATAGTTCTCTTAAGGGTCTCGGGAGGACATATACTAGCGTCCTACCGTGACCCAAAGCTCAGTATATAGCGAGCTACAGCTCGTTATATACTGAGTGCACCGCAGCCGGGACGGATCCCGACAATGCTGTCGAGATCTACCCAGCTGTGTAAGTGACAGCCGGCTCTGCCTATCTAGAGGCAGAGCCAGCTGTGCCCGCCTCCTCCCCCGTCCGTTCTGTCAGTCAGCGCTGGAGGATCGGAGCGGGGAGGGGAGAATCCCTGCTGGGAGCGGTAACTAAGAGGGAGATGATCGGAAAGTGAGTGAGCGACGGTATGCATTCGCTCACTTCACGATCTATAGAGCTGACATGGGACATTTTCATTGTCACACGTCGGCTCGAACTATAAGTATGAGTGAAAATCATTCATCCTTATAGTTCTCCCTTAATTAAGGAGTCCCCTTTTGTTTTGTTGCACTTTGACCATAAGCAGCGCAGGAGCTTGTAGGTTGCTAAAGGAAGGGAGTAAAACTGTTCAGGGGTTCAGAGGACAAGTTCACCTCACTGGGGGGGAATGCGTGTAGTTGAGCAGAAATCTTCCCGATCTTGGTTGAGTTTGGATTCGGACGTACTGATTTGCTCGTATATGGTCATAATTTTAATATATACATTTGAATACATTCCTTTGTAAGGCTCTTATCATTTTAAAAGCGTTTACTACTGCGGGCTGTATTCCCTGTGGTCATCAAACTATTGCTAGATTTTGTCTTGTCTCTCCATGCTTCACAGCTGATCTTTAAATAATTGAGCAAACTCATTTGTTTTACTTGCCTATAAGACAGATCAGTTCACGTTTATGCAATGTATATATACTGTATATATAATGTTTCACCTTGTTCATGGTTAGTATTGTCTTGACTTTGTAGGATATTGTGTCAAAAGTCTACTAGATTTGTAATAACTGCAATTTTGGTCAAATAAGGTATCTCTGTTTTTTACCATTGTTTGATGTTTTTCTTTCTAATCTTGGAACCCGTCACCAGAGAGTAACGTAGACATAGTGTGCGCATTAAAGAACACAGATGTCTTTGCGGGGGAGACGGCCACTTTCTCCTGCGAGCTGTCCAGTCCGTGCGCGCGGAATGTTCAGTGGTGGCTGGACGGCTCGCCCCTCCAGAACAGCCCCGTGAATGAGATCTCTGTGCACGGAGGCACGGTCCACACCATTACGCTAAAAAACCTGGGGACCAATGACTCTGGCGTTGTCACCTTCAAAGCTGGCTCTCTCGTATCTTCTGCTAAACTGTTAATTAAAGGTATTTTTAAAAAGACTAACACGAGCCTAACCGAGCTGGTTTTAACAACCTGCTAGTGTTTTCCCTATACTAGGCCCACCACCGGTGAATGGGATGCTTGGTTCTCCCACTACATGCTGTGGTTCCTTCCCGCTTACTGCTTCATTAGTAAAGAGTCCCTGAGGCACACTTACAATGCATTGGCCGATTAGTGGAACCACAGAGGTCAATGAGAGACACAGGCATCCGGCACACCTGGAAGTGTTGGATTTTGAAGAATCTACCAAACCTTCTAGTTCTGCAAGGAACGAAGATTCTATTCACCGGCAAAGGACTGATAAGCATTATGATTGTAGTTTTGAGGCCTTTCTGGGGGTTTTCGGTTACACAGAGGTCCTCTAGCCATTGTGCAGAGGCTAACAACAGCTTAAAGTCTATGTAAATGATCTGTAAATGGTCTATAATTTTGGAATGTTAAATATACCATCAAAATCAGCATTTTGCCCTATCTGTTCAATAAGTGCAAAAAATACCCGTCGATCCTGCCAGAAATTGCAAGTGGGCTTGCAAGTTCCTGTGCACTCTGTAGGGTTCTCTCAACAAGTGTTATTAGGCCTGACCAGTTCTCTCAGTAGAATAGAGAACACCTCCCCCATATGGTATGGAGATAAGAAGAAGAGTTGTTCTGCAGTCTTGACACACTTCCTCCATTGATGCAATACAGTGCGAGAACCTTGTCACCCAGGGACAGTAGATATGTTCTTGGCAGGATCACCAGGTAAACATAGTGGGGAGAAAAAAACGGAAAAAAACGGAAGAAATAAACCTAATGCTGTCAGTAGACCTAAGAACTGGTAAACTGCATTATATTACATTCATGTTTTTGAGTTCACATGCACTTTAAGCTGTTGGTATAAAGGTCAACTCCCATTTTCTCCCACAAGCTCATGCAAAAAAATTGTTCTAGAGTCAGAAAGTTATTTATAGAATTTCATAAGTAAAAAAAAAGTAGAAAAAAAGATAAATTGAGTTCAAACTATCTGTCAATTTATTGATAAATTATGAAAAATGATAATATAAATGTTGCCACCTTTTCCATAGAAGCAGCCTGACTCCTGGGTGAGGGCATGGTATCCATGTATATATCTTGTATAGACTGCATATCTTGGTTCCATTTCCGTCTTCAGTCCCATCTCCCCTTGCCTCGAAATTATGTCACCTTCTCCCTGATACAAGCTCTAAGCTGGTGACCAGCAGACCTCCTCACTTTCTGAAAAAGAGGGACACCTTCTAGCCTGAAGTACCTGAATTATATCAAATCCAAGGCCCATAATTATATGTATATGTATGTATACATCGATGTCGAGATCCGCCCAGCTGCGTGAGTGACAGCTGGCTTTGCCTATCTAGAGGCAGAGCCAGCTGTACCTGCCCCCTCCCCTGTCCGTTCCGCCAGTCAGCGCTGGCGGATCGGGGAGGGGGGAATTCATCCCCTCCCCTGTCACGGCAGAGAGCCGTGACAGGATCGAGAGGTGAGCGAACGCCGGTATGTGTTCGCTCACCTCCCGATCTACTGAGCCGACCTGTGACAGTCTCATTGTCACAGGTCGGCTAGAACTATGAGGTTCGCCTCATAGTTCTCCTCATAAGCACTCACCTCATAGTTCTCCTTTAAGTAAAACTGGCCATACCCCAGTAGAATTTCATTAGAGAAAATTTATCCTCAGAACGCTCCTTCGATTTTTCAAAAGTTGATTGGGGGTCAAATCGATGATCAATCGACCACAGTAATAAAAAAAGGACCGGGATGGAAATTTTTTCTTGAAAGAACAAAATTCCAACAGTGAATGTGATTTTTCATTTGGTAAGCTCCATTTACAGGTGAAACTCGAATAATTAGAATATTGTGCAAAGTTCATTTATTTCACTAATGCAACTTAAAAGATGAAACTAATATATGAGAGAGACTCATTACATGCAAAGCAAGATAGTTCAAGCCGTGATTTGTCATCATTGTGATGATTATGGCTTACAGCTCATGAAAACCCCAAGAACCCCAAATCCACAACCTCAAAAAAGTAGATTATTACATGCAATCAATACAACAAGGATTGTACATAGAACAATATCGGACCTCTGAAAAGTACAAGCATGCATATGTACTCAGTACTTGGTTTGGGCCCCTTTTGCAGCACTTACTGCAATTACTTTTGCACGATATTCTAATTATTCGAGTTTCACCTGTATTCCAAGTCAAAATAAAGATCAAACAAAATTTCGGACAGCATTGATGAAGTCTCTGTTGGCATATAGATTTTGCAGTATTTCGATTTTCGGGATTCAGGTCCGAAAATCAATTCGTTACGGATGCGGATGAAATTCGTTAGCGCTAGTCTGTACAAACGTTCGTTTCGTTTTCATTCGTTCGGTCGTTTGTTCGTTGCAGCAAAGTGACATTTGAGGGAAACATTTTTTTTTTTCCTCAAATGTCATTTTGCTGCAACGAAATTTCGTCCAACAAACGAAAGTTTGTCCAGACTGCCGCTAACGAATTTCGTAAAATTCGGATTCGGTATAGCTGTATTTCGGAATTCGGATAAAACAAGTCGCACATGTCTAGAACGAAGGTTTTCAGAAAAGTGACATCTCTCAATGGGGTGAGCAAGGAACTTTGATATGTCGCATGGACTCCCAGAGGAATATACTATATACTGTAAACCTTACTCTCAGTTGACAGTCAGAACAAATGTTTCTATGGAAAGCCGGTGGTGTGAAAATAGCCATTTGTTGCAAAAAAATTTAAAAAAATGCAATGATATTAAAATAATTCGAAGTGAGCACTCATTTCAAGGCAGATCTGATTCGAGGTGTCACGCAGAAGGCTGTACTATATCTGTATTGTGTTGTGGGTAGTAATATTTCTAGAGGAGGTAAAACACTAGTAGTGATCTAATACTTTGTAGCAATATAACAAATAGCTCAACAACAGCTAACCCTATTCAGTGTAAATCTACTTTATTACAACAAAGCACCAGAACTCTGTACATGGACGTAGATTTGATGTAAAAAAAGATCCCAAAAATTGATTAGAATGGCAATATAATGTCTCCCACAAAGGTGGCAATTGCAAAATGTAACGAACATATATATTTGCAGATAGTGTGTTGACCGGGACTGGGGACCCCTAGGGTTGCAAGGTGCAAGGCAGAAGAGCTAACCACTAAGCCACTGTGTTGCCCCTAAAGTATATATATATA